ATCGAATTAATTTTTCAGAAAGTAGAGAATGGACGTTTTCAACTTTCTTATAAAACCAAATAGACTTTTACAAACGTGATAAAATTGTTTCGCTTTTCAGAGTCGATTTTTCATAAATTAGAAAATACATTGTAAATTCATCAGCGACGGTTTTCTGCGAAGGAAATTGAGTTGTGACTGAAGCTACTGGAAGTATTGAACCATGATTTTGAAATTCATTTGTATCATGATTATTTGAATCTATCACAGTGACAACGGCATTCTGTACTGCATGTAAATCCAACGTATCATCTTCGTTGCCATAGTTGCCTATGATCAAACTTCGTCTAACTCGCTCTCTCTCAGATTTCAGCTGTTCTTGCCACTGTGCATCAAGGCGAACATGCTCGAATGTTGCTGAAACAAATGACGCGAGCTGTTGGCCCACATTAGGAGTTTCTTCATTCAAAGTACATGATTCATGAGCTAAAATGAAGTTTCATTCATAGTCATGTCTTTAAGAAAATGACTCACCATGTATGTCGGTGAAGCGGCCAACTTTCTCAACAGCTTCGATTGTTTCTTCTATGTATATACTCTCTGTGGATTTTTTGGAGGCATTGGCTGCAGCAGTTGTGTATTCGTCTAAAGTGCCTAACAGCTCAAGCAATTCATCGCTATTGTCCATATCATATTCGCCATGAACGGCTGGATTAGCTGGCAAAACCATGGGATCAATCGATCCATTGTCAGCCTGGGCTTCCGCGATAACTTGAAGCAAATGTTCATCACGATCTTTCTTGCATTCATGCAGAAGTTGAATATTTTCGATAACCTTCTTGGAATGCATAGAGATGAGAGCTTGCGAAGCTTGAAGCGCATCTTGCCATGTTTGACCGCTGCTGCAAAGATCAGAAACGGTACGCCAAGGCACGAAAAGTGTGAGAAGAGCCCGACTGTATCGTTCTTGAGTATCATCGCGATCCCGTCGCGGAATTCGAGGGTCATAGAGTACAGGTACACGAGACTGGCTATGTTCGACTAAGAGATGTGTCAATGCTTGTGGATGCTGTTTTTGAAATGGATAACGTTTGCTGGGTGGGCGGCCTTTCTGATGAACAGTTTCATCGCTGGGTGCTGTTACCCTGGCTAAATATTTCCGATCCGCTGCATTCATTTTCTTCTTGTATAATGAGCTAACAAAGTCGTATAAACACATGGCGTTGAGAATATCAGACCGATACTGATAAGGGTGAGGGTGAAGGTGGGTGAGGGTGTGGATGTCGGTGAGGATGGGGTGAGTCAGATATATAGGTTAGAAGAGATTCAACATCAGCAATTATTTCACTTGTCCACGGACAGCACATATGTAACAGAGCGAATCCATCCACATGAATACAGTAGTGTGAAAAATTATAGGGTCAGGGGTTCATACGGACTTCTGGGTCCTGTGGCAGTCATGGTATAGCTTCTGGTAAACAGAAACACATGAGAGTGTAAGCATTGGAGTGTGCTCTATCCAACTGCCATATTGGCTTTGGTCAATACCCTTTCGTTCTCGGAGAGGGACAAAAGATCTTCGAAACCATCGATTTTTCCCTGTTTGAAATTATAGGGTCAAAGTCACATTTTCATCCTTGCGTCAACAAGCAATGACCGCATCTGCCCTCGAGTTCCACCTACAGGTAGAGCATCTAGGTCTGAAAACTTTTGCGCAAAGATTTCCGGTGTAGGATGTAGTCTGAAATCTACAGCTCGATGCCTTTGTGCAAGCCAAAATGGCTGGGAAACGTCGGTCGAGTACAATGTTTTCAACGAGAAAAAATGTGGATAGATTAGACTGAGCTTTCAGTAGCAGATTCGAAAAGAAGACATTTTTCGCTACAAAACGAGCGCTGGATGAGCTCTGTACGACGACGGGCCCCTATTCAATTGATGAACCAAAATTCAAGCCATTTCAATGCATTTTGTGCAGGAAAACGATGACATGGTTATACTATAGCCTAACTTTTTGATGGCTTGTCGTACAGAGCTGTTGTTGTTCAGCTTTCGGCATTGCATTCGTTGAAAATGCGCTGCAACCTATTTAGAGGAATGAGAGACTGTGAATGTTGAACCGCGGTTGGACACAACGCTCTTTAAAGTATTGGTAACCCAATAAAGATTCCGAATACCTGCGTCCCGTGAGGTCCTATGAATTCGTACAATATTCAGATGTGTTGAACTACGCATGTTTGCTGGGTTCTTTAGGATTTTCTCTAGTGCGAAGGCTGCACTTGAAGAAAGTAAAAGCCGAGGAAAAGAGAATAGACATTATTTCCCTTCATTCTCGAAGGACAGATGGACACCTTCGGTCAAAATACAGCGGTCTTGACGGTAAAGAATCGATAAAAGCCCATTTTCCTTCAAGAGCGTCGTTTATGCAAGTTCGAAGGCCGAGAATGTGAGAGAAATCATTATTTTAATTGAATGATCTAGTTTGCCAAATTTAGACCGAAAAGTGTCGCTATGGTATTCAGTCGAGGGTCAAGTGAGTCGTATCGACGCGCGTTACTTGTATGGCATACTGAAGGCTTTGACAAGAAGCGAAGCAAGCTCTGCGTTTTCAAACAAACGCTTCTTTTCCTCGAGTCAAACAAGCACTCGCAAAGATCAAGACGAAACTCGTTTCGTGCATCAACTTAGAAGAACCAGATTCGAACTACGTCCAGCCATCGATTTGATCTTCAACGACGAACTCGTCTTCCTCCATATCCCGCGCGAGCGTTCGTTCATCGCTGCATAGTCAGCGCCAAGATTCTTGACATATCAATGTGTTCGACGATCTAATTGACCTAATCAATGTGTTGACCTAGCAGGATTCTGCTGTATGCCTTCGAGCATCGTCACGATGCGGGTTTCACATACTTGCTATCGCTGCCGATTTCATTTGCGTCGAAAAGAAGTTTACTCTCTTTCGTGGTGTTCACAAAGTCCGCGCTGTGCTAGCTACAGCCTTATGCGTTGATGCAGATGCTTGCTTAGCCAATGGTTCGCTTGCAGCCACCGATCGAGAAGTAGAGCGGAACATCCAGAGTCAGCGTTCTGATCTCTACACCTTGTCCAGGCTCTTCTTGTGACGGAGTGGCGTTTCGCGTCAAACTTGATTTCCATTGAAACGAAATAACAACTGATTTGCCCCATATCGCCAAGGACGAAGAGGAAAGAGAGCGAGAGAAACAATGAGATGTGGTGGTAGCTGATACCATCACGCTTTTCTCGTCATCATTCAGTAGCAGACTAGCAGCGATTTGCGCGTTTGACGTGCAGGACGATCTCGTCGCACTGGTCGTCGATCGTGTTGACACTAACTCCCACCCACACCCTCATTCTGATCGCTGCTGTGTGCTGATCTGGTCTCTGAATCCGATCCGATGACACCTTCCATCGCTTTTCGTGACAAGATCGATCCATCATCGGCAGTGCTGAGCCTGTTGTACCAGATCAGTCTTGCCGTGCTTCTCCAGTGGATCGTGCAACAGTCGGCAGAACTTCAAACTATACGGGTCAATGTCGAGCGTCTCTACGAGTATGGACAGTTGGCGTTCGAAGAGAGTGACCGAGATCTGATGGTTCAGCTGCTGAACGACTGGCCTATTTGAGGTGGAATCGAGTTCAACGGCTGCTCGAAGCGCTGTCGAGTCAAACTGGAGCTTGTTCTTCGCAATATCGAATGTATGTGTCAATGCCAAAGAGAGGATCAGCATCATCGGTCGAACAGGTACGACCGAGCGATCTTGGCCATCGCGCATCGGCTGAACTCGTGCGTTTATCTAAGTAGGCAAGCAGGCGTTGTGAAGCGGTAGTAAAACAATGGATAATGTATTGATTGAGTCTATCTGTCGATTGTTCGTGCAGACGCGAACATCAAAGACCGCCAACTCGCTCTACGCGACCTTTAGTTGAACAAGGTGATCATCAGTTTGAAGAGAGAACATCAATACCTGACCTGACCAGCACAGATGAGATCGTCATGGCACAACAAAACATCTCATTGAATGAGTCGGTCAATTCTACAATTGACCTTGTTAGAAGCAGTATTGACGTTCTTTTTCTACACTGAAATGATGCTTATACTAGTTCTTTCGTCTGCAAGCATGCTGCACTAATTCATCAACCGCATTTCTGTGAAAGAGTGTATCGAGGATGACTTGCTCAAAGCTGAAATACTTCCTCAATAACGATGGTCACGACATCTTTCCATTCGACTTCTCGTTGCTATTGATTGTTCCTTTTCTGTCTGGGTCATGCTCATTAGGCATGTACCAAAACCAATACTTAGTATTCAGTATTGGTATTGAGTCTTGGTTTTCAACCAGTATTGGCGGTATTGCCAGATTTGGTATTGATGGTATTGTCGGTACCGACAGTATTGGTATCGAGAGTGTTGGTATTGGTATTGGGGTATTGATACGGGTAGAGAGTTTACTGCTCCCTTCAATTTACTCGACTTTGCTCTGCGCTTGATTGATTGTGCAGAGCTGCAGATTTAGGGAGTGAGGGAGTATCCCCTGCAAGCTGTAGTTTAAGAGGCGATAACAAGTGGCGATCGGTTATCATGATTAAGCCTTTTAATGGATTTCATCAATTGTTTTGGTAATTTTTCTTGCAGTGATTCCCCCGTGTTGATGCGTTCGATACCCTTCGAAACACATGGTGGTTATGTTTTGAGTTCGACTGATGCATCTCAAATGCAGAAAACATGAAAAATCGTCGGTGTCCACTTCGCATATCACCACCTGCAATAGATTTCGCATTTCGGCCACTCGCCAGCTTTACTGGTATCGCCAGATGTCTTTGTAAGTGAGCAATGAACTCCTGTTTCTATCAATACTCCAATACCAGTACCAATACTTCCAAAACCAATGCCTCCAAGACCAATACCTCTCAATACCTAATAGTACCAAAACTATCAATACCAATACCACCAATACCCCAGTACCATCAATACCAATGCCACCAATAATTTCAGTACCACCAATACCAATGCCACCAATACTCTCAGTTCCATCAATACCAATACTACCAATACACCAGTACTCATCAAAGCCGTCAATACCAATTCCCAAGAGTCTTGGTATTGCGACATGCCTAGTCACCAGCGGCGTTCGCCAAGGGTGCACAATAGCACCAGACCTGTTCCTAGCACCAATGGAGTGGCTCCTTCAACGAACGGTACATCGAGGACTAGTAGGTGCTACGCTGAATAACAAAGTATTTACTGATCTAGATTTTGCCGACGACGTGGCACTGCTGGCTGAGACAGTAGGATCACTTCTTCTGGCATTGGAAATCATGCAGCAAGAAGCTCGTCCACTGGGCTTAGAAATCAATTGGCATAAACGAAAATCCAAGAACATCGACGCCCCATCTGTTCTTGGTCAGAACGTGGAAGTTGTCGACACGTTCGTCTACCTTGGATGCATGATTCACAAAACGGGCAGTAGCGTACCCGAAATCACCCGAAGAATCGCGAGCGCCAGGAACTGCATGAAGACATTGGACAAACCCATCTGGCCCTCCAGCATTTCGCTTAAGACCAAAATCCTTCTCTACAACTGTTATATACTTCCAGTCCACCTGTAGGGCGCGGAGACTTGGACAATAATTGGCACCGTCGAGAAGAAACTAGACGCGTTCGACAACTGGTGCATTCGACGCATACTCCGCGTTTCATACACGAGTCACACCACGAACAAGGAAGTCCGTGAACGCACCGGGCAACCCGAGATGAGCTCGACGATCAGAAGTTGACGCCTACGACAATTCGGACATATAGCAAGAGGGAACCCTCAAGCAGACCACACCAGAGCACTTCAAGCAGGTATAAACGGTCCTCCGCGTGGCTGGAAGCGCCCCCTTGGCAGACCACGTCACACATGGCTTCGCACCGTCGAAGATGATCTTCGCCCATTCAATTCGGTCTCTTCTCCGCCTGGAAAACGGCTCGAAGCAGACAAAAATGGCGTAGTCTCGTAGAGAAAGCAACGTTCAGTAGGATACGCTACAGATGATGATGATTCAGTAACATAGTGGTTAACCATTTGATATTTCTTCTTGTGAGAATCGAACTTGATCTTAAGCAAGGTCGAAACCCGTCATGGTTGCTCGTCTCACCAACAACCTCTTCACCCGCCGTGATGTGGGCAGTGTTGAAGCCATCGAACATTATGCTCTCAATAAAAAAAAACACTGTTGAACGAACCGCCGAACAATGATATATCCATGACGAAATGTGGCGAAGTTAATCAACGAGGTGCGCCGAAGGCTTTTTGCTTGGGCCGAAATTTTTAGAATGTCGCCATTTCTGATTCTAGCGCTTTTCTTGCTCCTCATGAATGACA